CTAGTAGAGATACTCAGCTCACCTTTCTTGTAACTGTAACCATCTTCTTCCTTGGTTCTTTTATAATCCTTGTCATTTCTGTCTCTCTCCCATGGACTGGTTTGTCTAAGGTCACCATTCTATTGATCAATAGCATAACAATCAAGCTTAATAGTTTGCTCAAAAGCATCTCATCTTACAAGAGACCTTAGAGGAAAACTGTTATTGGACCTTGCTCACTTATGATATTTATGATTACAGCCCAAGTAAAGAATTAAAATACATTTTCATTCTTACCCTAGTCGGTCTTTCTCTTGGGTTAACTCTATAATCCATAGATCTTGATCCTCTCCCAACACGACCAGTCAGCCTATTTCTACCATCTCTGGGATCTCTCTCAAGAGTTCTACTCAGCATGTTTTTAGTCCTTTCCTGCTGCAAGCCCCTTTCTGGAGCACTCTGTGGGACATGGCAACCTTGTCCAAAGCTCTGACGCTGTGGGCTGAGAACAATGCCATCTTCCTTTCTGTTTATGTGAAAGAAAATGTGGTCATATTTAACAAAATGAGTTTGGCATATAAACATTCTTGTCTCAGAAGAGTAAAAATAAACCAATAATTGTGTTTGCCTTATGCAAAGAAACTGGATTCAGGAAAAAAGGAAAAAAMAGAAAGAAAGGAATAAGGATAGAGAAATAATAAAAGAATTAAAGAGAGAAAGAATAAAGGAAAAAGGAAAGAAACAAAGAAACAAACAATCAAACAAACAAAGAAATGAAGAAACAATGAGCCAAAGAAAAAGAAAAARATGAAGAAAGAAAGAAAGAGAGAGAAAGAAAGAAAGAAAGGAAGGAAGGAGGAAGAAAGAGCCCAGTTAACAAATTTTTTTAAAAATCTTTAGTTTTGGGAAAGGCAAGTCTTTACAAAATATTTTGTGAAAAAAAGTGGTCACATATTATTCTACCCATTGTCTATCACATGATTAAAACTTTTCTCTTATTCTCTCTATTTGATTAAAACTTAGTAAATTACATGATTTGACGCCTGATATCATCCACAGGAGATGCACAGCGCTTTGCACTGGCTGGGGTATGGTGCCATAGCTCTGGGTCCCAAACACCATTTCTGAAAGAAAGAATAAAAGGAAAAATGAAAAATGAGAACAACAATAACTTGACAATTATTCAAACTTGACTAACTTGGAATACTAAATTTCAAAATTTAGCTTAATAAGTTTATGAAGCAAGAAAYCTATATTATTTTCTCTAAATGAAAAATGATAATGTAGGAACTTACTTTATACAATCTTCTTCAATAAACGCAGGCCAGGCTTGAGAAGCTGGGGAATCTTTCAATCCATTCAAATCTTCCTAAAAATTAAAAAACAAAATATTTTTCATATTAGAATTACAGGAAATTAAAATCCTAGACGCTCTAATAAATACTTAAGTGGATGAATATTATTTATATATTCGACCTACAGATAAAACTTGAGGAAAGTGCAATTGTATAACCTCATTATTCAAAGAACAAAAATTTAGTGAAAGTACTAACCAAAGAGTACGAATATTTTACACGTGTCCTCTTTGGTTCTGCTTTGCTGTTTTCTTCTTTCTCCTCTTCTTCTTGGTCTCCATTTTTAATAACTTTAGAATTAAATATAGAGAATGAATGAAGAGATACTTGCAGAAAAATGTATAAAGAGGACGAACTCAATGGCTATTTTAGGAAGTGACATTTAACAAAGCAGTCAACTTATCTTTCGCCTTATTTTCTGGCTTAAAAACACACCCCGCAGTTTCAAAAACAATTTTATTTTATATCGTGTACGTCAAAGAATTGGTTCTCTCTTGTTTTTTGTTTTTTTTTTACCTTGTTTCGGTGTTTCGTTGATGGTCTTTGGTTCACACTCTCCGCGTGCATTCGCAGTTTCAACCTTTTCCGAAGGCTCCTCTACTTCCATTTCGCCTCTTACGAGGGAGAAAATTCAAGGAGCCTCGTCAATAGTAGTTTGGTTAGTAGTTAAGTTAGTGTTCTGAGTGGAAGAGTAGATAGCAAAGCGTARCAAGTGAATAATCCAAGCAATCTTTTGCACTGCATCAGGCAGCCATGTTTGAAAAACACCAAAAAAATATTCAGGCTTTCTATTTATGGTGTCGCAACGCGCAGGCGCAACTCGAAACCTCGATCCCAAGGTTAAAGATTAATATTAAATATAGATTAATATTTATCCAAATAAATTCTTAGTGTTGGGCTAAGTGAAATAATTTATGGCTTAATRAGCATCAGAGGAATATTTGGTACCATTTCTTTCAAGACAAATATTTTTTTCGTGGATTAAGCATAACACTTTTAAAAGTTTCCAATTCTTTTTATATTTTGCTTGAGATTCTTTTTTTTTTCTTTGATATTCTTATTTTTATCACAAGTAAGCTTGACTAATGATGCGATGAAACTGKGCCAAAAACGAAAGTTAAGGCCAACGGTGCGTTTTTTTAAATTGGGGCGAGGGAGGGCTTAGCTCACCCTCCTATGCCAAAATGGCGGCCKTAAAATCGAAGTAAAATTACTAGTAGTAAACTAAGTGAAAAACCACTACCAGCACTGGAAAGAGCACCTTTACTTTAGTTACCCTACCACCAGGTGTTATATCGGCCGAGAAAACTTAAGTTAAAAATTGACAACTTTACAAATGTTTGTACATCGGAGGGTATTACGCTATACCCTCCGAGACGTTTGCGATGGAGTCATACCTCCACTATACCAGACTCCCTTGCACACTTTTCTTTTGTTCAGTTTTTAGACATTGTTACATAAATATGATGACCCTACTTATGCTTACATATTTGCAACATTTGTGTTAKCAAAGAGACTCAATGTTGAAACTGTCTTCCATAGAACTTTAACAAATTTCCGATGGTTTAGAGTGGCATGTCCTCTTAATTACCACGATATAGAGTGCAAACAATATAACCGTGAAACTTTAGTAATACTAAATAGCACAATTTCTTGCAAATTCTATTGTTTTCTATTGTTTAATTAGCACTCTTTTGTACTATTTAGTAATTAGTGTTTCACGGATTAATTGTTTGCACTCATATGAWACATGCAGGGGAAAATTAATAATTRAAATTAAAGACTAAAATWAGTAATTTTCCCCTGATACATGTCARTGAGTTGGTCAAAATGTTACGTAATTACGAGACGCACGTACCCCTTGCAATTTTACCACAAATGTAAAATTTCCCGTGTCAAATAATTGTACATATCCACAAATTACGAATCGCTCACGCACGGCAAAAACGCGAGGACTTGATTAATGTCCTTAAAGAAATAGATAATACTCGGAGGTAGAAGTCAGTTTACATCCACACAATCAAATAAAAATACATTTACAAAAAAACCTCTAAGAATTCTTAGTGTGAATCAGAACGTGTGTGCATCTCTAGAAAATAYACAATATATAACCCCGTAGAGGTGGATTAGAATTCTAAGGGGTGTGTGTGTCGGGGGGAGTGCAAGGGCAGATCCAGGGGGGGGGGCAAAGGGGACGTCTGAAGCCCTCCCTTCAGCAGAAAAAACGATGCTTTTTTATATTGTTTTCCGTTGCGTTGACGGAAGAAACTCAATTAGCCCCCCGTAACATTTTGGCTGGATCCGCCCTTAAAGGGAGGTAGGGGGGTAGGGAGATTGGGGAGGTAGGGAGATTGGGGGTCAAATCACACGGGTATGGATGTTGCCATTATGCCTTGATATCGTAATTTCAAAGGTTTATTGGGAGAGCTAAGGGAATGATTAAAACGCTAACTTTTCAACCCACTTCGCCCAGAGCATAAGGAATGCACTAAAGCTCTAATAGTACATGTGATAGCTCTCGGTACTGTTTTATTGGGTTCAAATCCCCTTTATTCATCAAGCAATCAAAAACTAAAGAAGTTTTAAATTTATTTGTGCAATTATTAAAAATGACCAGCACACAGTCTAACGACTCAATCGACAATTCTCTTTTACATAAAATATGGTAATACTGAATTTTCAGTTTGTTCACACTTTCTTTTTAAATATCCATTCACTTTTGGACAAATGCTTCTCCTTTGGCAATGTTTTTCTTTAACTCTGAAAGAACCTTTAATGAAAAATAATASATATGTTAATATGTATTATTACAGACCGACCAAGCTCGGTTGATAAGAGTTTTATTATATGACCACTTTTCATTGAAAAGGRCAAAATGTTTTCGCCGTAAGATTAATAYGCGATMGGACCGGTTAATACCGGAGAATCTARACCAGTCCGCGATGCGATCTATCCAATCAGATTGCTCGATTTRCTAGTGTCCAGGCTCTAAGATTCACGGTCATATAATATATATATATACACTCAATTGAAGAATCTTTGTCGGGTTCAGAAACATAGAACATGAGAGCTGAGACCAAATGGCACATGGGAAATGACATAATTATATTATAAGTTATTCATTTTAGTGCCATCCATGCAGTCGGCTTAGAATGCCAAACTCGTATAAAAACATTGGATGATGTCACGAGTCGCCGGTCACATCATGCATCTTATTGTGCCATTTCGGTCTCAGCTTCTATGTTCTATGTTTCTGAACCCGACAACGATTTTGTATGGATTTTACTGCTGTCAAAGCAGATATGAYAAATAGAATCTTGAAAACAAAATCATAGCAAGAAATTCCAGAAATGGTTTTCATTTTGTAGGATGGACAGTGGACAGTGGAGAGGGAGGGGGAGTTGGGGCTATAGCTCTATCACTTTTATTTCTTTGGTGACAACAATTGACAATCTTTTTCAATAACATGATAATGTGTCTGGCTAGCTCAGAGGGAGGATGATGGCCTCCCATATAAGTTAAGGCTGCTCCTAATTGGTGCTTCTCAAACACTTTAGAAGTTAAGRACCAATGACCAAAGTTGACAAAACCTTACCTCTTCCATTTTTTTGGTTTCATATTCAGACAACTGTCCCATTCCAAGATTCTTAGTAACTCCATCTTTCTGTAAAATGAAAGCATAACATAATTCAAGCAAAAACAAAAAAAGCAACTAAATTCAAAATTCTCACATTTGCTCTTTTATAGCTTTAAACTAGGACTTAACTGCAATCCTCTTTCTTAAGGTTCAAACAAAAAACTTTCAAATTTATTGATACTCAATTTCAGGGCATGGCTAATTGCCCTATTTCACTATGATGTCACATCAAAACAATTTGTTGTTTAGACGCAAAGGATCATGGTTGTCAGACGGGGTCAAATCAACGCAAATTCACCAAAAATTGTTCTAAAACCCTTATCAATCCACAAAGAGAAACAGAATAGCCGCAAACGCTCAGAATATTTTTTAGTACATATTAACACATAATTACTATATCTGAAAACCAGGCCATTTTATATTAAACTATTTTGTTAGGAGCAAATTTTGTTGAATTTTCTATTGGATTTGGCGATTCTATCCCCCACATAAACAAGCGGTGACGTCATAGTGAAATAGGGCAATTCACGGATCAACTTGGAATTAAGCGTATTTTACGGAAGGAGAATCAAAGTCATTAAATTCTGACAGTGCAATAATTTGATTAAGTCATGCAACTGCAACTGCAAAAATATATTATATATTCTCCTGCACATGAATCATAATACATACCCCAAGTTCAATAGGTGTGGCAAAGTAGGGTGCATCAGTGACATCTGATTTTACAAATGCACACTGAATTACACCAGACTTCCCACTCATTGCTTCAAGAACCTGTATAATAAAAAAGAGRCATCATCACCTAGTTATGAACTCCATTCAACCCTAATTGTATGTGACACTATAAATCTGTAACTTCCAATGAAGGCACTTGTGTATGGCATGCTTTTCTTTTGYGAGTAAAAAATAAGTATGAATAAACTGTACGACACAAAAATCATTAGACTGTAAGTAATAATTTTAAAAAAGCAAATAAATCATTTGGATGCCTTTGAGGTGAAGGTAGGGTGACCCTGAAATTTGAAAGAAAGTATTTCCTTTTTATTCTTCTGGGCCCGGTTGTACGAAGCCTGGATAGCACTATCCGGTGGATAAACCTTATCCAGTGAATAAATTTATTTGATTACAGCATCAACTTATCCACTGGATAAGGATTTATCCACCGGATAGCGCTATCTAGACTTAGAAACAACCGGCCATGGAAAAAAATTACTGTTAGCCCTAAAAGACAGGTCCATCTTCTTTTATGTATTAAATAGTGTGTGTTAAAAGCACCTGGTACTCCACAAGAACTGTAGCTTTACTTTGTGTGAATACTTATTAACATTTCATACTTACAGAGGCAATGAATTGGTTGCCAGCGAAAGCCATAGAAAGAGTGGCAGATCCCTAAAAAATTTATACAGAAATCAAGTCAAATCCTTTTTTGTGTGTTGTCATAAAAATGGGAAAACTTTGATAGGTAAAGCTAACTTTAAAAAGGGCCAACATTTTGAGTGTGGTTGGAAATTAAGGCTTATTCTTTCATATTGCTTTAGTTATAATGGTAGTATCTTGGTCTTTATAAAAGTCGGTATAATGAGCATTTCTTTTCACGCTAAAAATAAATGCTCTTGAAAATTTCTCAAGTGTCCTTAGGGGCATTAAATAGGAGTTCAAGAAAATGTGATGAAGTGTATTCTATCATAATTTYAAAATAAATACCTATACATGTGTTTTTATGATACTTACGGCACCAGCCTTGGCATTGACTACTTCTGTGCCTGCATTCTGAATTCGGTCTGTTAGTTTTTCAGTCTCTTCTTGAGTAAAAGACAYTTTCGGTGTGGTCTAAAAAGACATAAATACTATGTAATTTAGAGACTCAAACTTTGATTTTAAAATCGTAGATGGTAATAATTTATAATGTCACTTGACAATCTTTCTGAATGTCTCACAGCTGAATGGCTAGTCCAGTTACCTGTGATAGGAGTGGTAGTATAGTCACACCAGAGTGTCCGCCRATAACAGGCACGCTGACATCATTTACGTCAAGTCCCTGGAAGAAAAATATATATCACTTATAAGATACATTGCTGATTTACACCCTAAGATTTTTTAAGTATTAGAAATGAATCATTAAAACCAATTACCTTTGCCTCAGCCACAAAAGCATTAGCACGCACAATATCCAGAGTTGTGACGCCCAAAATTCTATGATTCAAAAGGAAATAATTCAAATAAAAGTATCCAAAAAGATAGTGTGGTGRTGGTYATAGAGAMRGTAGTGATATAARTGGCAGTKATAATGATAGTGACAAAATTGATAGTGGCAAAAAGTYGATGCTGCCYGTGGWAGGGGTATGGATATTTTCTGGACCTATCCAATGACGAAATGTATTTTATGTGGAACTTAGTTGTGTGAAGCTGTCAGATTGCATCTAACAAAAATTAATCATTCTTGCCTGTTTGGATCATAGACTCCAGCTTTCTTGTACACTTCACTTGCAATTGGAACAGTTGAATTCACCTAAGACCAAAAAATATATAATATATAATATAAAAATATAATATTTAATAGAATTAGGTATTTATGATGGAAAAACAATATGTTATTAAAAATACTCTTTCCACTCAATAATAACTGAATATCGAAAACTGAAGTAAGCTATGTGATGTGATCATCTCCCTCTCCTCCCCCAAAAACTAGTTTTGAAGTATGGTGAACAACTCTAGAGCTGAGATATGCTAATACCTGCTCAGTTGGTTAGTTCTGAATAGGATAAATATTTTCTATAAGTAATGACATAAAATAATGGAGTTCATACTTACAGGATTGGAAATGATACAGATAATAGCCTTCGGACAATACCTAGATAAGAGATATTTGAATTAACTGTCATGTTATTGTWATGCAACTTGGGGTATTAAATAGAGCTTTTTGCCAACACAGGGGCCRTCTTGAATTCTAATTAACTTTATGTTTTAATTAAGCCATTATAAAATGCAGTGGGGGGAAATATTGGGAAATTTATAGACTGCTCTGCAAAGCTGTCAGAGTGTCTTTTTATATAACTTTATGCTTTTTAATGAGAATGTTTTATTYGAAAAGATAGCCCTGCCACTCTGTATGCTTAACTTTTCTATATTTGCCCCAGTATCCCATAATTCAACATGGCCGCCATACCATTAAATTGTCTATTTGAAGATAGAGCAGCTGAGATAACCACTTACTTGGCACAGGCTTCTGCAAGGTTCTGGACGATAGAAGCATTGGTGTTGAAAAGATCGTCACGGGTCATGCCTAAAAAAGCAGTTTTTTCCTCAGTTTATGAGAAAACATAAAAGTATCTATGGTTTTCTCTGGGTTCACTCGCTTTCCTCACTCTGCTAAAACCAACATGCAAGTTGAGAATTGTGTGCTTAAAACGTTATATATATAGGAAGTGAGCCTGGAGTGTGTTGTATGCTATCATGTGTTCCTCTTTCCACTATTCAGTCATTGTGAATATTATGATGAATACCCTAGGGAATTGTAATATGCAAATAGAGTATATATAAAGGGAAGCTTGGTCCCTCTGGTGCCACTTCATTCAACCTGCCTAGAATAGCTTTAAGCTRCTTTGCAGGTAAAAGTGTAAATATTTTTGTATTAATTGAAAACAATAAAATGTCAAAAAAATGTCAAATTAACGGGAAGACTACATACGTCGACCCACCCRCCTCACCCGCGAGCAAGCGGGATAAAAACATTACACTCTGGGTTACCTGGGCATTGTTCCAGACCARAGTGGATGCCTCATACCTCATTGATAACAATACATAGGGTAGAATATTATACTATTTAATAATTATTCACCAGAGGCGAAGTGAATATCRGGAAATATTTACTGAGGCTAAGTTGTCACTACTCCCTAGGTAYGCTAATCTATCTTAGGTTACCCCAAAGCATTTGCCTGGCATGCACAAGTAACCATTTGTACACCAGGTTGAAACAACTGACACCATAAAATTTGGGTATCCTGACTAAGAATACAAGATAACAATAGTCTTTTTACAATGGTCTTACCAGGTTTTCTAGGTACACCAGCTGGGATAGCCACAACGTCACATCCTTCTAGAGCATTTTTGAGCTCATCTGGGCCTTGATGGCTGGACACCTACAAAGTTAAGGTGTACTTAATGTTCATCGTAGGAGTATTGAGTCTAGTGCAACCTACAGGGCAAAAGACCCTTTGCCAAAGAGGCGACCAAAAACTGAAATGAGTTAAATAATTAAAAAACAAATAACAGCACTAGAAAGAGCTCCTTTACTTTAGTAATCTTACGAAGATTCATTACGTCAGGTGTTATATCGGCCGAGAAAACTCAAGTTGAAAATTGACAACTTTACAGACGTTTAGTATTTTTAGTATTCGTTTCATTTTTATATGCCAACGACTGTGGGTCAGTTTCACTATGAAACAAATAGAATATTAAAAATTTGGGATAAATGAAGTCTAACCTTAGCTCTGGTCGAAATGTGACTCAGATCAGCAGCAACACCTTAAAAAAATATCCAGGAAACGTAACATTAGTTTCAGTAAAGGAAACGTTACTTAATTATTTGTCAATATAAATACTGTAAGCTTAGTCTCATCTAAGCTACCCATCACCCACTTAAAAATTCTTTAGCTTACTCTTTGTGCTTAAAAAACCCGTTACCAAATGTCCTCGCGTGAAAAGACGTGAGTGAATATGTACATAAAATTTGCACATTCGTACCTGGAGTGTTGACGATGTCGTACAAGGCAAGATGACTAACAAGAGGAGATTGCTTCAAGAGAAGCGACATAGGCTGACCAATACCACCAGCAGCACCTAGAACAGCTACCTTTGACTGCCTCTACAGTATAAAACCAATAATAAAGAATCAACAAAGGGTTTATAAAGCTAAAATTTAAACCAGAACCGGCAAAACTGTTGCAAAAAAATTGAACCTGTTCGGTGATCAAAACGGTTTTTGTCGAGGCTGTCTTACCTGAGTAGTTGAAGAAAACTGCCGAGAGAGTCTAGCAAGGGTAGTTACTCCCTGTGGACGTATTACTGCTCTAGAAAGCATTTWAAAATATATTTAAAGAGGGTATTTTTAAGACAAGGTACAAAACCTTTGACTCCTGCACYGGCATTCAACGAAGAAAGGCTTGAACGCATGCTCAAGAGAGGGTAAAGCCGCATTTATTTATCGATGGCGCATTTAAACAGACGTCACACGATCGAGTCACGCGTCACCGGATATGATGAACAGTCAAGATAAGATTGACAGGTAAACTTTTAACTCTTTTTAACTTTTAGGGGAACCAACATCACGAAGTGACTGATTATTAAACATTTTGGAGGGATAGGAGTTGGAATTCAAGAGTTAGATAAAGTGGTGGATCTTGTGGGGAGGGGGATTGAAGGAGTGTCCATGCCCCTCTCCTTTGTGAAGTTTCAGCCAAGTGAAACTATTGTAAAAAACTTAGGGTTGGCAAGCCCCACAGTACATATTTAATAATTCCTAGTTTTCTTTTTTTAAAGAACACATTATGAAACAAAATCTCAGTAGACTTTTTTAGTGTCTGTCACGCAATGTTTCCCTCCCAGGGAACGTTCATGGGGAGGGAAAGGTTGAGTGACAGACACTAAGAACTTCTGTGTAGGAAACTATCATAAAGCTTGTTGAATTGAGAATAGATATACCTAATAGCAACCTATGACATAAATTACTTTATTACCATTAAAAAATATTTTTATTTTCCACTACACCACTCTCTTTGTACAACAATTTGATAAAATATCATTACGACCATCAACAATCGATATTTACAAGAATAAAAGAATATTTTTTAGGTCAATAATTTGGTTCACTAATGTCAGTGATGGCTTTTCCAAACAGCTTGTCTTCCCACTTTGCAAGCTGAACAATGAAGCCTCGGGTTGGTTGCATGTTTTCTTTACACTTCAGCAAATGCTTGTAGGCATCCTAGAGAAACATAAAACAGTGACACTTTAAATTTGAATTTCTCAAATTCAGATTATAATAATTTTTTAGCATTTTTGGTCTGCAATCAATGGAAAAGATGTACATGGGTGTAGCCAGGATTTTGCATCAGGGATGGGGTGGGGGTGGGGTGGGGGCGAGACCTGTTTTCAGAACATCAGTGATTACATTTAGGTTTCTACTTCACTGGATAAGATTTATCCACCAGATAGCGCATATTCACGCATCGCACGGCCGGGCCCTGACATACGACACTCTAGCTTAACTCACATGTGATGGCAATTCCAGGAATCAAATTCAAGAACCCAGAGGGAAGGGCCTTGAAGTGACTTAACTGCTACCCCAAGCTTATTTCCTAAGATGATCTACATTTTATCACAAATATTTTGATACCTTTAATGAAATCTTCTTATGCCACATGATGTAGGCCACAGCAATAGTAATACATCTACTGATGCCAAGAGTAGAGTATATTAGAACACCTTGTCCATCGTCAGTTTTGTGGTCATCTGTAAAAATGATGTTTTCTATAATCAATTTTTTAGATTTGAACACCTTTCTTTCATATCCCCAAAGAATTCTATTTTCTGTAACTCAAGTTTTTCATATGAATCATTGTAATGCCAGCTTAGGGTATTATTATATTTAAGGGTCAAGGCAGCCATGAATCCTGACAATCAACCAATGCAAGACATTTTTAAAATATCTAGATTAGTCAAGGGAAATTAAAATTGGAGTTTAGATGGGATGCAATATTTGATACAAAGATACAATAATAAAGGATAAATGTACATATTGTCTCATTCCAGAAATATCCACTACCCTACCATATAGCACAGAGGGAATTTGTAAAAGGGCACCCCCACCCCCAGGAACTTCCAATTTTCTTCATGCAAACTCTGTAATTTAGTTCTTTCTCTGACCCCCTCCCCTGAATTTTCAATTTCCTCCGTGGGCGGGAATGTTATACATATACAAGTCTTACCAATAAAATTGGCCGCATCTTGGAAATAAGAGTATAGGTCTGCATCATTGCTATCTTCCACTGGAATGTTAAGCAACTGGCTTACTTTCTTATCATTCACTCCAAGTTTTGTGGAGTCAACAGAWAACCTAAGTGAAGGCAAATAGATGCAAAAATTTTCATTTTCAAATAATTATAAACCTCACCCTAGACCAGATACCCCCTAGACTCTACCCACTGAGGTTCACTCCTTTTCCTGTAGGACTATCATTTTTGCAAGCAAAAAAAAGGATACCACAAACATGAGCAATAGATTTGTTAGTAGTGGTAATATAGCCTGCAGTATACTTTTTCTCTTGCAGTAATTTGGTTTGCATAACTGTGGTTTTTGATATTCTGTGAACTCAGACATTCCAATGGCTTGTTGTGAAATTGGCTTTTTACTGCTGCCAGTGAAGAACATAAAAGGTACCAACTGATTATTTTTGATTGACGGAAGCAAAAAAGCAAATTTCAGTGTGCAGCTTTCAACTACCAAGTTTGCAGAAATAGAAAATCACAGTAATGCTAAAATAAAACACAAATCTTGTTGACTCAGACTGGCTGGTTACAATAATCTACTGTCTCACTACCCAGAAAACCTGGTCTGTAAATATTTATTAATTAAAGGAGAATTACAAATTAATTTCAACAAATATACCATAAAACCAGGATAATAGAAATTTCAAGAGTGTTTACTTACACTTTATCAGTTTCCATAGAAACATTGACATGGGCTTTAAGCTTTAGATGTTTAGTGATTTCTTTCTTTTGTGACTGTTCATAGGTACCAACATATAAAAAGCTTGGAAGAACTTCCAATGGATAGGTAAGAATCACATCCAGCTCCTAATTGAAAAGGTTGAATATTTRATCAGTCAGATTTTAATAGTGATAGTTAAATGGTAATACATAAAAACGATAGTTGTAAATCAGTGTCAGTAGGTTGTWGGCCAAAAGCTCACTGTYAATCTATTGACTACCCGCCTTCAACCTACCAATAATAACTGCCTTACTATCATGGTTTTCGATATTCTGCGAAACTCHGACATTTCAACGGCTTGTTGTGAAGTTGTTTTTTACTGCTTTTTTTACTGAATTTCAGTGTGCAGCGTATAACTTCTGAGTTCGTAGCTCTCGAAAATGGCARTAAAACACACAGTAAGAAATCATCAGTTTGCAAAATACTGAAGAAAAGTTAACTAATTGGAACAAATATTTGAGATCTCCGGTAAGGGTCTGGATTAAGAAAGGAATTCCTATGATAAACAAGTGGGTAGCCAGCATAATAGTATTACATACATAGTAATTAGATCTACTTGGTACCTGGCTTATCATAAAAATCCCAAGAAGGTTTAAAATGTTRAATTATACAGTCATTTATTAACCTGAGAATAAATAAGTGGATAATTACCCTTGGCATATAAATGATTTTCTGTGTCCTCAAGAATGGATAAAGTGCAGAAAACAACTCATAGCCACCTAGAAAAAATAAYACACAGATAAAGATAATAATTAGCCATTCAAAGGTTAGGAAAAAACTGGGATGAGTAAGCATTGCAGTGAATTTTGGGACTTTTTTAGGGGACATATTTCCAAAATGGCACCTATTTCATACCATTAAACAGTCCCACGATGCACTGCAATGCCAGCTTGACCAATTTCCCCCCATGAAATGGCTATTAGTATAATATGTAATAGGACTCCATGCTGTCCAATTAAGAAATAATTGGACGAGGAAATTTCGAGGACTGACAAAATTGAATGAGGCCGTAGGCCGAGTCCTATTTYGCAGTCAGAGGAATTTTTCGAGTCTAATTATTTCTTGATTGGGGATATATATAGCTGCCTATCAAGAAATAATTAGACTCGAAAAATTCCTCTGACTGCCAAATTGGACTCGGCCTATGGCCTCATCCAATTATTTATGTCAGTCCTCGGAATTTTCCTTGTCCAATTATTTCTTAATTGGACAGCATGGAGTCCTATTACATATACTAATAATAGACAAATGATGAATAAGGCCAAGAAAAAGAGAAAAGAAAAAAAATGGATAAATAAAAAATACCATACCTTTTAAAACTTTGACAGGATTTTTGCTACCCATTTCCCATAACAATTTGGCACAAGATAAAGCAGTACTTCCTGAAAAAAAGCAGGGAATATCCAGCTTATTTTCTTCGTAGGTTTATTTTTAARTGAAATCACTTTGAAGCAAATCATTTTTTTAAGTAATGCACACGTTAGACCATGATTACCACTTACGACACAAGTGCAAAGACAATTAATTGGAATCTTTAGTCATTATAATAATACCATATATTTGAAAGAACAGGTGATAGCTAGTAATAAGCCTGCACACATTTTTCAGATTGACTTTACCACCAATCAAATGCACCAATAGATATCAATAGATGTAAGAATATGAAAGCTGTACTTTACTGCGGTTTTTAATATTCTGTAAACTTAGGAGTCACAAGCTGCACACTAAAATTTGCTTTTTCGCTGCTGTTATTTAAAAAGTAATCAGTTGGTACCTTTAATGTTCATGACAGTGACSCCAGCAGTATGAAAAAATTCACAACAAGATGTTGAAATGTCTTAATTGGCATAATATCGAAAACATCAGTAATGAATTATTTGACTGACAATAGTCAGTACTGTTGTGACAGCAAATCAAAAAATCAATTCTTGGCCATGCAAGTTCTAATAAAAMAATTGAAAAGGCAGTAGGTAAAGCAATAAATCAAATATCACAAACTTCGTAATGATTGCTGTTTACCTTTATCTTTAGTTGTGCTTGTATTGCTGTCATAAAGGACAACATTCACTTTAGTCTCCAGCTCTGCATCCTCTGGTACTGTGAACGCTCCTATGTCATTCTAGATATAGCAATGAACAACCAAATTAACTATCAGCTGTTTATTTTTTGACTATCCAATTGCTGATATTGACTTTCTTACCAAAAGTCGTCTTACTGATGGTACTAACTCACCCGCGGTGCATACTTTGCTGTAACAACATGACTCTCGCTATAATCATGTCTCTTCCTAGTATCTGGTGGTCAAAACATGTTGATTATATGAGAGTGCATCGCTAAGTTTATAAAAGTTAAATATACTGAATACTTGGGAACTCACCGAGTAAAAGCAAGTAGTTGGGATCGCTGAGTCGAGGATGTTGGAACGACTTTTAGTGAATGAGAAAATTGAGTTTTTTAGTAAATGCGGCAAAAAAAGACACAAAGTAGTTAAATAACTGCGAAAAAAAAAAAGCTTATTGTACCTGGTTCAACAAGTTGTAAAGCTCGGAGGGTTCGAAAAGGACAATTCCAGAGGATGACATGGTTAAAATATTGTTTTAAATTAAGGTCAGAAAGTCTTTTTCTCAGATCGGATGCTCATTTTCACTTGGATTTGTTTTCTGTTGCTAAGATGGGCTACTTCCGCTGGCCAGTAAGAACCAGAAACTCAAGTACTTACCACAGGTAGCCCAAAGGAAAGCCTCGCGTTCAATAAATCTTCAAGCATTTCAGTGACACGTCTAGTTCTGTTATGAATATGTACTATTACATCAGCTTAGCCCACGTYAGATTGCATGGTTAGGGGAATCAATGGTTGAACTCCTGGACTAGATYGTAGGGTCTCATCTAATCTCAGGGTTTATATATTTTTTACTTGTGAAGAAGTTCACAAGTTTTTTTCACCCACAAAACCAAAGCTCTTTTCATTTCTGTATCTCATTACTGCACAACACTTGATCATTTAAAGGGATCAAGGTCATATAACCTGATAGGGCAAAAGGCCTATAGTAATCAACAACACAGTACACTTGAGTAATAGTTTGAATTCTTTTATTGRATATATATAAAGCTGCAAAAAAAGTTATTAGCATAAAACATACAATCACACACTAACTGCAAAGTTCAATATCACACAAACTACTAGAAGGTTCCTAGTAATTTATCACACAACTATGATCCTAACACTTTTGATAAACAGCTCAGCACAATCAATGAAGAGCTATGAAATTTCTGTAATAAAGACCATTGCAGTTATATAATAAGTATCTTGTTAATAAAATGTGGTATGTTCCATTTTTAATGGCATCATTTTAAGAAAAAGAAAATCCAGACTTTGAAACCAATTTCAATCATACCACCTTTAATGAAATCCCTCCTGATTGTTTGCTTCAATCCTGATATATCCCACTCAAGTAGGCAAGAAGGATTCACCATGGCCAAGCGCCAATGAAACCGATCCTTTCCAACTTGCTAAAATCCAAAAAAAGAAATCCTAGGATATCCATCATCACAGTATTGATTGATTGATCCTGTTCCCTTCCAATGATTTATGCAATCCTTTATCTGCACAAGATAAGTGAAGTCGTCAAAACGGGGAACAATCAAGGGTGAGCAAGACTTATATATTAGTAATTACAATCTAAACCACAATGGAATAGATACAGAAAACTTTATAATATCAAAACCAAGTGCAGTAGAAAAGAACTTCCTTAAGGGGCAATATATAGTGCTCCAGTACTTATTTATTTGAATGTAATAACTTAACGAAAAATAAGGCTGCATTAAAAAGCAAAAAAGGCTGTTAGGATAATTTTATAAGGACTTTAGAGTTATGTGATTTCCCTTCACTATTTATGCATTTCTCATGTACTMCAACTTAGCAAGGATAATGAATTGCCCAATATATCAGTACCTTAATCTTCTCATTCTATTGTTTTGCAAATATCTATAGATCATAATGAATTAAAACTAGCCTAAATGAGGCTATCAATGATACAAAATTTGTTACAGAAATTGATTGAGAGTCATAGACCTAAGTACTTCTAGTTATTAATCAAGGCTACATAGGTAAGATGACCTATGCATACCATATTCCAGGGTTTGTGATCCAAATGTCTCCCTCCTATGAATCCCTTGTTAAGGTGATCCTTTTCCGTTTCTGATCATGGAGCAAGTCAAGCTCCTGTTTGTCTTAACTTTGTCCTAAGACACTTGAGCATGCCTTACCAAATAGATTAGCAATCCTTTGGTTATCTATAAAACAAGGTAATGAGCAGGTGAAAGGATGTTTAAACTTTGTACAAAACATCAAAGTAAACCTCTCAGGGAATGGTTACCTTTCTTCTCCTGTGAGAGGAAATTTAAGAAACTGAACTCTCAGATTCAAAATCACAGATATACTCTACATATTATTGGTAAGAAAAGGTACTAACAAATAATACGCAAAGCTGACAAACATAACTAGAGTTAAATCGAGACTAAGAGTTSTAAAAGAGTTTATGAACGGCTGCTTGAATGGGATCTGGATCGACGAGGACTGTAGGAACGTCTTGGACTTTCTGACCTTCTGGGAGATYTTGAATATGATCTCATTCTTCTTCTTGTGGGACTTTTTGATTTAGATCTTGAAGGTGATCTGGATTTGCTGCGTGATCGTCTTGGTGAGCGACTCCTTGATTTGCTGCGGGACATGTTGTCGCTCTTTACCCGAACATATGAAACCTCACCCTGAATGATAAGTAAAGGATTCATTTTATAGCAATTACCAATCAAAGAGCCCAAACTCCATGTTTTTGTATACTAACCTCATGTGACCTGAATTTTGAATCATCCAAGTTTTTTAAGGCATACTTCATGTCATCATAACGAGCATACTCCACCACACCTGTTCCATCCTTAAATACATCTGTGAAGAGTACATCACCAGCTTCCCTCATGTGGTCTTTCAGATCTTGCCAACTTCCAGTTGGTGGAAGCCCAGAAACATGGACCCGAAAGTCTGACCTGCGTGGTGGGGGTCCCCTTCCTCGACTAGAAAATCCACTCCTGCCCCCACCGCCGCCACCACCACYACTTCCTCCCCCTCTACCACCTCTAGGAAACTCCACCCTGATTCGGAATCCTTCAAACTCATAACCATCTTTACCCCTTACAGCATCATCTGCATCTCTGTATAAAAAAAAGATAATAAACAGGAGTTAAATTATGGTGCATCTAAACGTATACAAGACTGTGAAGATATCTAAAACTTTTAAAACTTCAAAGGCATCTTTCCCCTTTAGTTGATTTCACCTGATATACACCTTCKAAATTCAAATAACTTAGCTTGAGAGTTTATAAACTGAAGAAAGAATCCTCCAATGATTGTATGCTTTGATCCAACCACTGTTGCGAAAATCATTTTGGAGCTTTCAATCCACATTCCACAACTCAAAGCAAAAGCGAAATGCTTGAGAAAAGCGAAACAAGTTATGAAAAGATCAAAAGACACGATTACAAATACGTGAAAAGTTTTTTCAAACATTCAGAAAACAAATTAGAATCCCTAAAAGTAAATATATTAAGTAGATCRCTTACCTTGGATCCTCAAACTCAACAAATGCAAAAGGTGGTCCACCACGACGGTTCTTGAGGTCGATCTCAGCGATGTGACCGTACTTATAAAAGATATTTTCTAAGTCTTTTTCGCGAATATCTTGAGGCAAATTTCCAACATAAACTCTGCAGTCGTTGTTATTACTTCGATTCATTTTGTTAAACAGTGAAAAATCAAGATTCCTAAGAGATAAAAAATGTAATTTCGACGCTATGAATAGACAAGYTTCTCAAACAAATATGGCGTCCCTTTTTAAAGTAAAACCACGTGGCCCTTGATTGGGGGGGACCTTATCGTTTGACAAGGGTCACACAGGTAGCCCAAATATAGATACTTTATTGCAATTATTTTAATAATAGGACAAACTCCAAAAATTAATACATATTTAAGAACTATTGTTGGTTTACTTTTTTCTCGAAGATCATACTTTCGTATATCACCGTCCTCAAAATGGTCTACCAGGGCTGAAGCCAAGTTTTATTGGAATCGGCGCGCAGCAAAAACAACTAATTAGCTAACGAATTCTTTCAAGGGACAGACCATTAGATAGTTGAAGGGGAGGGAGGGGGGGGGGGGGGGGGTTTCGTAAATCCCCCAAAAAATATCGAGCAAGCACTTAAACCTCAAAAAAATATCGCGTAAGCTCTTCTACTACAAGAAAGTTATCTAACTGTACGCAAAAAAATAACGTGCAAGGGTTGAGCCAAAAAAATAATATCATGCGACCAAAATTCCTGCAACCCCCCCCCCCCCATCAATTATCTAAAGGTCCATCCCTAATTCCAGCGCACAGCTGTGTTCATTTTAAAAACGTGGATCCAATTGGATGTATCAGAACCACGTGATCTTAATTCATGCTCTATGTCATATGCCAAACCCAAGATGGAATCCGAATATTTCTCACTATATAAAATATTTTCAAGGGCTTGACCTTGGTAACAAGATTTCGTAAATGTTTTAATTTATAAACTTAAATTCAAGTTTTCAAAACCTTAACGAATTTTTCTAGAGCAAAAGGATTATGATGTAGTCTTTGCAGCCGTTCTCCGTCCCTTAATGCTACTCTAATAAATCCTATTTAAGAAATAAAACAGCTTTTTCCATGCTCCTTTCAGTAAAATATCACGCCAGGAAGAGGCGTAAGCATGGAAGAAGTGCAAGGGGAAGCCGAGCTGTAGGCGAGTGCTTAACGAGCTTCCTAAGTGCTTTATTACAGAACGGAACATGGAAAAAGCTTTTTTATTTGTTTTATTATATAGTTATTAATTTTATTTTGGTATTGAATTTACTTACGCTAAAAGAAAAATGGTTGCAGGATCTAGCAGAACTGCGCGCGCGGTTGGCGTCAGCACAGTGCTCCGTTCACAATTTAAGCACAGTTTTCGACCAATCAGCGCGTGCGTACTATCCTAACTATATAATAATTCGTAATACATTTATGTCCCATTTTAAAAGAATATTCATTATCTGTCATTTTCCTTGATCAATTCAATCCTTGGACTTTCCGGACCATTTATTATCCGAACTCAAACTGATATAGTGAAGGATGGGCAACTTGCCCAAGCCGAAGTAGAAAAATGATTAGTCGTGAGTTACGCTAGCCAAAGTTCCTTCCTACAACTGACAACTTTGGGTTGCACTTTCTCCGGCTTGACAAAATCAGCAATTTCTTTTTCGATGTTGAATTTCCCTTGCTGCAATATCCTATTTTCGATTACGGCTTTCTCAGTATCCGACATGAAGACAAACATATGAAAACGACTACATGCATACATGCTACATGAAAATGCTACATGCATAATTTTTTGTTTTATCCAAACTGTAGCAATTTATCTTTTGTATGTATTACCGTTTATGGAGAAAACTAGATCTTCCTCTTTTCGTTAAAAACATTAAAATTCATAATCGTTTTATAATATATAAATGATAGGCTCACCCTTTATTTTGGCGTGGTGGCGCGCAAGTACAAAAGATTCGTCAGTCTTATTGGTCCTAACTATGATATTATGGAAGGGATTGTTCAGCTAATGGTAAAATGTTTCGGCATCCTATAACGATTGTTTAGGAGTTCCACCTGCAGCTGCCGAGCTCCTAGCTGTATAAATCATGTGGACTGAATCGTGGCGAAAAGATAAGTTAGTTGCAAGGGGTTGGAAGCAAGTTTAAAAGAAATAAAAATTTAAGTTAAAATTTATAAAATTTAGTGATAAATAATAAATTTGWGGAAGTAAAATCAACAAACAAAAATACTGAACATGATATCCATATTATTTTCCGATTTTTACATCGACAATATTCTGGTCATTTTTTTAAAAAAATCGCTTTTTAGCGGCAATACTTTCGCCCATTATGCAAATGATGTGTTACTACGGAGAAATACTCTGGTCATTTTTTTTAAAAAATCGCTTTTTAGCGGCAATACTTTCGCTCATATGCAAATGATGTGTTGCTACGGAGATATGTTTAGGCGCGCACATTCTTCTGTTATAGGACWCCGAAGAATGTTACGGTAACTGTCCAATCAGAATCATTCAAACCCTACCTATTACCAATCAAATTCATTTCTTTAACCAAAAGCCAATTTTGTGGCGAGTTATAAGCGTTGCGAAAGTTGGTGTGTTTAGGACTCAAACTGTACAGTTTCATCTGTGGCGAAGTATTGTAGTAACTGTGGAGACTTGTTCTTAGACAAGGTGAGTTTCTTGCCCGTTCTTTTGCTTTAAAACAGCATTTTTAATCCAAGAGAGGCGCTTTTTCTYGGGATCTGCTGATTCATGTCATTTCTGGTCTGCGCCCAGGAGCRCCAGAATTCAAAGTATTCAAAGTTTTTCTTGTTTCTCAATAGATGACAGAAAGAAAAGCCGTAATAAAAAACGCAGATATGTCCGAGGACATGCAGCAAGACGCCATCGAATGCGCAACCCAAGCTATTGAGAAATTCAACATCGAAAAAGACATTGCTGCTTTTGTCAAAAAGGAGTTTGACAAGAAGTACAACCCAACGTGGCATTGTATCGTAGGAAGGAACTTTGGCTCGTATGTCACTCACGAAACTAAGCACTTTATCTACTTCTACCTTGGGCAAGTTGCCATCCTTCTTTTCAAGTCCGGATAAATCACCATTGATAGAAATATTCTTTTAACAAGCTCCATAGCTTCGTAGCCAAACAAAGTGCAGTGGTGGTAATGCTATTTCAGTGTTAGTTTTGTGAATATATTTTTAAGTTTTTTGCCCAAATTGTATTGTTTTTCGCCTAATACTCAAAGCAGATGTAAAATAATTTATATTAAAAAACTTAGTTATATTCATACTTATTCACATATTTGATTATAAATAAATTAATAGCTGTTGCTATGGAGGTTTCTGTGGTCTTTTATCTTTGATGTTATTGCACCTATCGCACCTATTAATGTTAAGCCCCTGCTGGGGGGACTGAATTATGCACCTATCAATGTTAAGCCCCAGGGAGGGCTGGATCAATGTGAGRCCCCAGGGTGGGGATTATGCACCTATCACATTAAGCCTCTGAGGGGGGGACGACCCCAGGGGATTTTGACAGTCCTCATCACCAGGCAACTAATGAAAGTCAAATATCCACCCTCAGTACACGAGTTTAATTTCCAGTTTTTTCAAGTCAAATTCCCAAATTTGTGGGTATTGAATAATGTCAATTCCCCCAGAGTCCCCCACCTGTTGCTTCACATTGATAGGTACATTACTAAATGATAATGGTCTGCATGCTCAAATATCTAGACAATATTTTCATTGCACAAGTTATTACATAGTGGTATGATGTCACTTAGCTACAACTTGACTTTGAAAGGACCACCATACCCTGACAAAAATGATAGTAAAAAAGATTTATTTCATTTTTTTATTTAAGGTTTATACAGAAAACTGCATAAAATRAAACTTCATACAGTCATTGGCTTGCATTTTCATTTTAAAAATCTCATTCCATTGCACTGTTGCTTACATTGAGATTTTCATATATTTATTATCTTATTGAAATTGCTTGCATTACTTTCCGTTCAAAAACAAGCAAGGAATCTAATAAATTTACAGCTTGAACCCTGAGTGAATAGCTGCAACACCAATATTTAAGTTTTCATAGGTGACACTTCTAAATCCAGCATCTTCTATCATTCCAGCAAACTCTTCCTGAAAACAAAAGTAATTTTTGTTAAGATGAGAATTTCCATGCAGCAATATTGTTAGTGCCAATTCCAGAAAATCTTAGGTGCTGTAGTAGGGTAAAGGGAGGCCAAAATTTCTTCTAAGTTAATGTATAGTTACCTGGTTTGGAAACTGTCGAATGCTTTCCACTAAATATTGGTATGACTTCCAGTCTGCTGCCAGTACCTGGCCCATAACTGGGATTGCATTGAATGAGTATTTGTCATAAACCCTGGGSGAAAAAACAGTGAAAGTATCACATCAAACATTCTTAAAACATATAAATCRATATGCAATAATACCTTGAAATTACTGGGTTTTTTACTTCACTAAATTCCAAACACAGGAATCTTCCTCCAGGACGAAGAACTCTATATGCTTCCTCTAAAGCCTGCAAGAATATTTCAAAAAAATAAAATTAATACTAATAAAAGTTGCAGAAGTTACCCACTACCCAATTTATGAAGTACAACAAGGTGCCCTACTCGGATGACCAACCCCATCCCATGGAAATTCATATCTGTTTTTACCAACCTCTTGTATTCTGGTAACATTTCTAATGCCAAAGGCAATTGTATAAGCATCAAAAGAGTTGTCTTTTGCAGGAAGATTCTGTGCATCACCAGCTACCCATGACAGTCCTGTTAACRACAACAGAATTCTGCATCAATAGATATATGGTTCAATTTTATCTTACTACAAAACAAAAMCACTCTCAGTTTACAATAAAAAAACTACTTTTTCCATAGGAATTCCAGGGAAAGTAACTATATACTACCCTGCTTTGGGAAAAGTATTTGTAACTGCTTTTTATTTTTACCTGGACTCTTTGACTGCAGTAGGTCCAGAAAAAGGTCACACACTAAGAAAACTGTGGTGCTGCACAACATGAAAAACGATTGTTTCAGAGCAGGGCTATTTTTCTCCCTCACCAGCCTGACAMTCAGCCAGCCTTTCGAGGGGGAAGAATAAGAATCTCTGCTCAAAGTACTCAAAATGAATACTGTTCTTGCAAATGTATTTACCTGATGTAAAATTCAGTTTGTTGGCTTTTTGTTTTCCAACTTCCAACATATATTTATTRATGTCACAAACTGTAACCCAAGATTCTCTTTCTTTTGAAGGTTGATAAGTTCTACTTCTCTGTCTATTGACATATTTTAAAAATCTAAAAGCAATATCACCTGAAAAATTCCAAGACAATCAATTAGACTATGACACTTAAGTGGATCTCTCTATGGGACATGTGTAATGGACCAAGTTTGAGATCAGACATTAGTATTTTTCCCCAATTTCAGAGCACATATCACTCTCTTGCTGGGAATATGATAAAATTCTCAAGTATAACCTTCAAATGTCATTACTGTGCAGACACTTCAAGGTTTTTTACTATGTTTTAATACATGTCTTGCAGTTCATTAGTTCACATGGAGTGAGCTAAAAATAAAACATCCATCGTTTGTTGTGAATGGATGGTGCCTATAAAATGCTTGATTCCTTTGTTTCTACTGAGAGCTGTGGTTGGATAGTAATAAGGAAAAAATGTAGAAAAAAAACTTGAAGTGTTCATGGTTCAAGTGTCTGCACTGTAAACCCTGAAACAATGTTAGCACCCTTTCACTGATGTTAGCACTCATTCACATAGACCAAAAGGATCTTCGATTGTCAAATAATAGAACAAATCTATTGTGTTACTGCCCCATTCTATTGTATTATTATCCAATAGGTTCTTTCAGCTGACGTGATAAGTGCTAACCATCAAAGTAAGAGCACAGCTAACAGAGAGGTCAAATATTTGAGATTTAGCTAGTTGGGATTTGTGGAGGTAGGAAAACAGTAAATGACAAAAAAAAGATTTTCAAAGAAATGAGAAGTAACAGGACCATGGACCACTTTTTGAAACACCAATTCTTCTTACAGTTCGTTTTCTTTTTGGTCATCAAACACTGATCCATTAGAACTAGACAACTACGATTACTATCATGGTGGCTGTTTGCCCAGTATGCTGAAGTTAAAAGGGTCTTTTTACTGCTTGTCTGTCTACATAAATTTTATTAATAAGACTCTTAGTGTCAAACATCCAGTTGAGCAGTGAATTCTTTTACAGCCAATCACAGCGAGTTTAGATGTTTTGCTGCTGGCCCTCATTAACAGGCTAATGTAAGCCAACTTTTGCATATTATTTTTCTGTTTTCTTTTGGCTAAAATATAATAGGCGTGCCTAAAAGAAGCAGAAATATTGAAAGGCCTGTCATTTCGTTCACTCATGCTTTGCGCACCGCATTCACTGCTCAGCTGGATAGGTTGCTATGACCATATTTCTCACCAGTTCCTCCTGCGACATCCAAGAGCTGTGTACCTGGAGGTGGGTTCAGTACTTTCATGAATTTATCTTTCCATATTCTATGGATTCCAAAACTCATTGCATCATTCATCAGGTCATATGATGTTGCTACATTCTCGAATACCTTATATACTGGAGGGGAAAACGGAAAATCAGGAACCCTGTGCATTACTTAAGCTTTAATTAACTTAACGTATACTTTTAAAAAAATTTTAATAAAAAATAATTAATCAATGATTTTCTTTCAGAGAATGAGCAAATGAGTTTTCATTTCATTCAAGTTAACAAAAAATTATTACAACATCTTGAAGATTAACACAATTTCAAGATTTTATTTGAATAATATTCAAATAAAATCTAAATGAAGACAACATAAAAAATTATATAATTTTTATACCTTTTTCGGTTTTTTCCTCCTCTGTTACCGTCTCATACCCAAAATGCGTAGTATCCTGTTGAGCATGTTCATTAGAGAACCATCTCTGTCGCATAAAAGCACTTGACGTCCTTCCACAGAATACACAATTCTTAAAAAACTGCGCAGTTTTGAAGACATTTCTTCTTATGCTGGCCGCCATCTTGGAATAAGTCTAAACACAGGAAGCCCAAAAAAATATTTTTAAAGCAAAGAAAAATAATGCCTAAAAATGTACGTATCATAATATTCCAAGTACATTTTAGCCGCATGTAAGATATTTTACCTTCGTTTGTTTTATTTTGTCAATTATCGGCTATTAAATTTTTCGGAAATTTTCTAGTGTGATTTATTTGCATGTATGGGCCTCCTGTGCTCCCGGTATGCTTCAGTAGGTTTGTTTTGGCCCGTGGAAAGGAAACCCATTAATTTGGCCAAGTGCCTCTGGGCTCACGGCAACGCTATAGCAACAATGTCCATRCATCTGTGGGTCTTCTCTAACGATAGTTATGTTTTGCCATCAGTCTACGTTAAATACGCTAAGACTGGAAAAGTAGTCGAGTCCTTCTAGTAAATTCCAAGTGGACGAAATTTCGCGGGGRAAAACGACAACAACTCAAGACCTACAAGAATGGCGCTAAAAAAGAGAGGTAGGTCAATATTGTCATCTATATCTTGTCAAATGCGTATCTTTATTCCATTGCTATTTTTATCTACTTATTTAGATTTCCAAAAGATCGCTCAGCAAGTACAAGAATTCTTAGTCAAACTAGCCTGTGAGGAAGGAACGGCAGWTTTACGAGACGCGTTGAACTTGGCTCTTCTTTATACTCAAAGATACTATAAAACATTACGGACTCGCAGTCATTCGAATAAGGTGTCTTCGGGCTCCGAACATCGATCCCTTAGCGGTACATTGCTTTTTACTAACAGTTGTGGAGCAGTTAGCCCTGTATCGCCTGCCTGTGGTGTGCAGAACCAGTTTGAATGGAAATGGTATAATCTCGAATCACCAAAATTATCAGCAAGTTTGGGTACCTCAGAGTTCTGTTCGATATCTCCTTTCTTGCAAGCCGCTAAAACAGGTGATATCGAAGTACTCAAGGCACTGATCGATGAAGGTAAGAGCTTAAAAATCCTCCTTTATTTATGAATCAAATAAAACCTTTTATGATCTTTCGTGCAGTCCGAAAGGTCGTTAAAAATTGTACAAACTTAATTTTTATTTCCTAAGTTTAATGTAATTACTTTAAAAGGACCAGCATATATACTTCATCTTTTTATTACTTGTTGATAATAGAAAAACCAGATATGTTGACAGTAATAATTTCCGATAAAAAAGATTTTTCGATCAAAGCATTTGCCTTATTTTTACTGTTGTACCTTTTTTATGTCAGTCTTTAATTAATTTTCTTGGGATTCAAAACTTTTTATAATTTTGATTCATCCTGCATTATTACTAAGAGCTTTGTCAACAAACTTTATACTCTTCAATAAACGTAGTTCTTTTGCTATATATTTCTTCTTTGCTCTCTGTTTATGACAATTTTTTTCTTAATTCCGCGCTCTATTTATGACATTTTACCCTTAAAAACTTTCATATATTAGATATTCTTGTTTCGACGAGAATTGAATAATTTAACTACATTGTTTTCCGTCAGGTTTTGTCATTCTCCGACACCTAGTTTCCTGTTGAAATTCGAAAAGAATAAGAGACTTTCCTAGTAAACAATACTATCAAACATCTTCATGCCTCCTGTTTTATTCTTACTCATTTTAACAGGAAATGCACTCAAGGTTCTTAATTATCAGGTTTTTCGCTAAAAGTTAAAATACTACTATATACAGTAGCTCGTACGACTAATTTGTTAATTGAAAACTCTTTTATAATTCATATTTCATTCAAAGTTCCATTGAAAATTTGACAATGAATATTTCAGAAATTAATATAATATTAATATTGCCTTTCAGTTTAAAATTTCGTAATAATTTCAAGATATTTTCATAAGCTTTTTTCTAGATATTTCAATGATGTCTTTGCCTTCTTCTTTTTTTAATAATTGTTTAGTGTTCATAATTAATAAAATTTTTTTTTTGATTAATTGTGCTGAGATACTCGGCAGCACTCAAGTTACTCAACTTGCATGTTGTTTGTTCAACAAAAGGTAAAAAGAACTATTCAATCGAAATGCTGAGATAAGGAAGCCATTTAAATGTCAATCTCRAATCTGTCATAAGATATGATGAACCCACTTCTATTAGCAAAGATACATAGGAAAGAAAATCTATAGTCTACAGTTTAAAGTAACCAAGCATTATTTAATCAAAACACTAAATATACCTAAAAAGCCATTTTAGTGTTAAAGACTCCTCAGTCTAAGTCACTGATTTGATTTCTACCCAATTTTTCCCCCTTTTCATTAAATGTTCTTAATTTTTTTTAATTTGGGGCAGGAATTTTGTGGGCATCCACATTTCATAGTAACCATAGGAACCAAGTGCTATCCAATGCTCAAAACCCATTTAAGTGTCAGTCATGCATACATACATCCTTTATGTGATGTTATCATGGTATTTCTACCTAACTTGTATAGCTGGTGCAAAGGTGTTAGCAGGTGGCCTTACCCTCTGTAGCAGCAGTRCATGGTAACTGATTTCTAATTATGTTTTTTTTCTGGGGAGGGGGGAGGGGGTTACTATGTGTATCCATTTCCTCAGGAATAGAAACCTAAAAATTTAGGAAATACCATTTCTAGGGGCATTAATGTCAATACAAAATTTCACTGCTCAACTACTGTTAAGATTAATTTAATTATTTTTTACTTGTTTTATATGAATTCAGAMCCAGAAGCTGCTAATAATTCATTGGATGGTTTGGGCAGGAATGGATTGATGTATGCTGTTCACGGCAACACACCAGCACATATAGAGTGCCTCGAACTAATTCTGGAAAAAACACAGATTGATCCAGACCACCAAGCCAATGGTAAATGTCTTAAAAATGTTAACTAATAAGCATAGAGTCCATGTTTACTGTCCTAATACAAGGGTACTGATCTATTAAATAGACACTTTCAGGATGTTACCTGGTGTTTGCTTAATATAGGGTGTATGCTGAATAGATTTTTGTTTTACAAGAAATATGGAACAATAGTGTTTGGTTCCATTTAACTAGCTGTCCATTTAATAAGGGTGTCCACTTATTTAATAAGGGGTTGGCATACTACAGGTATCACTTTATTGGTTGTTGTTTACTTTAAGATTATTCTACTGCCCTTCATGTTGCTACACATGAGAACAACACCACAGCACTGAAGTTATTGCTACGAAATAAGGTGATTCTTTTATCAATACTACCAGTAATTCTAAAATTACAATTATACTCAAAAGGATCAAAAAGTTTTTAAGTTTTTACTTTTGTAATTATTYTGTTTGTTTAAAAAAGTTTTGTATGCACCCTTTAGGCATCATGTTCCATAGAGGACAACGAAGGCCGCACAGCACTACATTGGGCSGCGGCTAACCCCTCAGTAGATAACCTCAAGGTACTTCTAACAAGCATAATAAATTTAAAAAAGGAAACCAACGAATAAAATTGTAATGGCTGCAGTTAGGCCCTCCCTCTCTGGGTCTAACCTCGCTAATTAGCAAGGCTAGACCTCTTGCCCCCCTCCCCCAGTAAAAATTCTGCTCTTTGGCCCTGAGTAGATGGTACAATGAACTAACAAATATTTTCAATGTTGAAATAATTGATGATGTAATGAAATTTGGTCAACTAATTTCCATGAAAATTTTCAAATTCCAGCTTTTATTGCAACATGGTGCTAATATCAGAGTCAGTGATTGTGAAGGGTTGACTCCAGCCATGTGGGCATGTCATTTTGATCAGCTGAAGAATCTGACTGTTCTTCAGTCAGCTCTCAGTAGAGTTGATCCTYGTGATGAAGCCCTGTATGAAGAGACAGACTTGAAAGGAAGGACTGTTGTGCATTGGGCAGTCAACAAGACTGGGTCAACAGAATGTCTGAAGGTAAGGTCGGTGTCATTGATTAACGTGAAGAAGCCTACAGGAAGATTGAAGAGTTATTGTTATTGTGCATTTTAGATAAGTCTCAAATCAGGGTACTAATGTTGATGATGATGATTATGATCACTGCAGATGTTTAAGATAATGCTCAGGGTGCTGGTGTTGCTGATGTTGATGATAGTGATAGTAAGGCACATGGTAGTGAGGAACATGATAGTAATGATTCAAAATAGTTATTCAGTAAAAGAATAGATATGATGCCACAAATGACAATGATGGTTGACAGGATGTGGAGGGATAATGATGAAGATGGTGCAGGTAGAGATGAGTATGGTGGTAGAGGTGAAGTGATTGATGCTTGTAGTGATGGTTATTGTGGTAATGATAAAGATGGTGATGGTGATGGTAGTGATGTAGTGATGATAAGGATAGTAATAGTGGAGACGAATGAAGATGATAGTGATGATTATGGTGATGGTAGTGATGTAGTGATAGCAGCAGTGAAGGTGAAGGAAGATGATAGTGATAACAATGATGCTGCAAATGATATTAATGATGTACAATTACAATGATAATGATGATGACACACATTTTGATCCCCATCCTATCATTTTCCTAGGYGCTACTTACAAAGGAATCAGGAATACTATATGACAACGAGAAAAAGAACATTCTCCATACTGCAGCAGAACAAGGTAACCATTCCATRTGAACCTTTTTGTAATCACATCATTCCTTGTTCGTGCCACATGGCTCTGGGGRAAAAAATTGTTCCCACCCCCTAATTAGCAACATGCTTTAGTACCTCTACCTTCGCAACGGTTAGCTCGGTTGGGGCACCGATCTGTCGTGTGAGAAGTCATGYGTTCAAACCGCCATRGYTGGACTCACACTCACTCTCTTATAATTTGTAAGTAGAAGGTGCTGCCTTTGCTCTAGATATAACTGCAAGTGGCTCGGATGACYACGTAAAATTGCGGTCCTGTCTCACTCAGAGACGTCAAAYATAGAGGGYCAAAAGTTTATTAGTGCTAGGTTGGCAACTGTCACGTGTCACCCTCCCTAGATAAACGCGATTGTTATTATTGTTATTATTATTATCATCATCATCATCATCATCATTTTTATTATAATACAACGGTCTTTTGACGCAATTGAGAAGGTGATAAAACCGTGTCTCGTTTATTAATTCACCACTTCAGGTGTTTTACCGGCGTGTCAGCTTGTTTTAGATGTCTGTGGAGATGAGTGTCTKTCCATGACAGACAGTAAGGGAAGGACACCTCTTCATCTTGCTGCTCTGTGCGGCCACGCGGAAATTCTCATGTTTCTACTCGAGAGAGGTGGTAAGTTTAATATATGAGATTTTAGGGAGATAATACTACGAATTTGCTATACTTGTAAGGCCATAGTYTACTATCAAGTTTAAGGTTGACAGAAAGCACATTCCATTTTCGACCATGCACGAGGTGGAAAGGCTCTGTATATTTTCAACGACTTGAAAAAATTATTGTGCGTGCGAGGAGTGGCAATACCAGCAACATGCATCTGTGTCACTTGATGCCCTGATACACAGTGCAACTAGCTGGGTAGTGCGGGCATGTATCGTTGTGCCCAACAACATTTTAGGAATGTCACACGTCGCAACTTTTCCTGCAACAAGACTTTTTTTTCAAAGGAACGCTACACAATTTTGACCAGTGGTACACCAAAATGATACAATTTTATTTTGCAGACAGTGTTTTTGTTAGTAGTTGCGCTCAAGACTGCAGAAGTAGACCTTTATCCTATAATTTTGCAACGGGCGCAGATGCAATTCGTGGCTTCATGCGGGCATAGAACATTGCTCATCGTGCTTCCGGGCCTCATGAATGGTATTGCACTACATTGCACCGACGGAAAGTTTACTTAGATCTCTAGGTTTRCATTGTCAAACTGAAGCGCGAACACTTTTAAACACCTTGCATAACAAGTTCAACTGTGCTTTATACTTTRATATACCATTTCTTTCAGCTGATCTTTCTGCACGGGATAACAAYGGCCTTACTCCTGTGAACATCATTGAAAACAAGCATTTGTACTACTGTATGATGGTGCTTAGTCTGAATCCACAGTACCAGAAACTGTATTCAGACCAAAACAACAATAACTCGATAACGAGTCCGCATTTAGATACGTCTGATGAAACAAGGTTGGTAATATGTATTTCTATCGTCCTTGTTGGTTTTATGAGGGTAGCGCTTAAAGCTAGTGAAAAGCCAGTGGCTAACAAACCCGTGGCCTTCGTTCCATGATCAAATTGGAATTTATGAGTTGATTTTTGTGGAGGGAGAAAAACCGGAGAACCCGGAGAAAAAACTCTCGAAGCACAGAAGAAAACCAACAAACAACTCTACTCACATACCACACCGAGCCAGGCGGGACTGGAACCCTGGTCACATTGGAGAAGCGATCGCTCTCACCGCTACGCCAACCGTGCTTCCCACCATGTTTCAAAGATCGATATATGCATTATTTTCTTTACAGTACTTCTCGACAGCACCTGTGGAATCGTACAATTCGCCGTTGCCGCAACTGAAATAGGATTTTTGTGGACGTCAATTAAAGGGTTTCATTAAATGAATTAATTGTTGGAATAACACGAAGTTTTTAAGAGCACGTGCCTGTGCCGGAATGTCATGGAAACCTCTTGATTGACGTCCATCAAAACCTACTTTGTTGCGACCATGATTCCGYGCGTGCTATCGATAAGTTAGGTAAAGACTTTGAAACAGAGTTGTTGAAACAAAATAAATAAATAGATAAATAAATAAAATTAGTGGTTTTGGTGGCCAAAAGTCGATCAAGGCGTTTCCATGACATTCAACATTCACGTGCCCTTGAAAAGTTTGTGTTTCCTGACACTCTCATGAAACACTTCGATTGACGTCCWCCAAGTTGACGACTCCACGCGTTTTATTAAAAACTAGTTTATCGTTCTTATGAGAGAAGAATTTGAAGTCGAACTATTTGCAAATATGATATAAAGATCTTCATTTGCAAGAAGGATAGGACTTGGTGTCTTCGTTGTCTTTTGCTGTTTCTCTCGAAATATTCGTATTTAAAATTGATTTATTACGATATATTTTACAGCCGCAGTCGAAAGATTTCTCCATCCGCTCCGCYGGCGTCTGAAGTCATCGACGACSAATCTYGCACRGAAGCGAGAGAAAACCATAGAACTGGTGAAGAGGACAATGCGATATTTTACAAGGTAGACTCTTCTAACAGGCGTAAATCAGAAGTAACGAGTACGCAATTAGAACCACCTAAACCTCAACCAAGAAGGTCGAGAAAGCAATCTGCACCAGCAAAACTTGGGCATAAAAATTACGAGRAAGATGAAGAAGAWCTTCAACAAAAACGAGAGATTCAAAGCCCAGAGTGCAGCAGTGGCTCAGATAGCAAGGAAAAGCAGGCTCCAGTTCGACGACAGAGTTTACTGATGCGACAGGATGGRATCCAGGARGAACCGGTTCAACAGGATTTGTTGAGAGCTGCCTCTTTTGACCTGCGCACTGAGGACGGTACCGTTGTCTTGATTGGAGATATCGATGACTTACAAGCCAATGCTGACGCTTTAGATTTGAACGACGACGTTCTTGAGATTGATTGCGGCGACAARCACGAAGAAGAAGAAAACTTTGGGTACTCAAGTTCTCATTTGGCGGAGGGACGTGGAAGTGCATCYAGCGCGAAGAGCGAGCTTGACCATGCAGATAATTGTAGTGTTAGTGTGGAGATGAGCGTATCCAGCATCGGCAGCGACAACGATAATGGGTTATTTAATGACACACGTGATATACATGAAGAAGTATTGGATGATAGAGATTATGGTCAACCATCATCCAGTCCTGAGCGGAAGGTGAGTCGTTAATCGTACAAGGCAAATTGCTGGCGGGACTGAGATTTTCATCTTTGTTTCGCGCCAAATTTACCAATAGACCTAATCGGCTAACGTGTTGCTATGTACGTTACCACCCAATTCAAACCTTCTGGGAATAGAAGCGTTTATCTCTACGAATTCAACTGTGAAGCCAAAATATAACGAACAACCTATGAAACTTAGTCCCATGTGGTTTGAATTGGGTGGAAACGTTTATAGCAACACGTTAGCCGATTAGGTCTATCGGTTTTTCAAAATTGGGCGCAGTCATTTTTGGCGCGAAATGCAAATTWTATTTCTGCAAAATAAAAATTTGACTGATTTTGACTCTTSTTTTGCAAAAATTATTTTGTGCGCTCGTTTTATCRGAAAATTAAGAACCATCGATTTGTGGGAAGTGTACATGCGGGACCATAACACACTTGCACTGATTATACTCTTGATCGTTTTCAGGTTAATGTAATAGCGAAAGGGACTGGACAACTGGTTTACCCTGCTCCTCCACCCAATGAACCATCCRTGCAACAACCACCCCACCCCCCTAAAAGTCCTCGTCAAATCCACCACGAATCTCAACACCAAGGAACATCCTCCCAACCAGAACTAATATCAGAAACCACAGAAAAAAAGCCAAAAAAGAAAAAAGAAAAAAAGAAGAAGAAAGATTCTTTGCACCAAGAGTCTTCTTCTCGGCCTCCTGTTACTCCTCCCCTTGGCGTCATTGCACCTCTGGAGCCTCCCTCGATGTCTCCGCTTGGTCCTGGTCCTGGTCCTTCGAAGCTCGGAGGGATGAACGGGATCGTTACAAAGCCAGGCCCATGGGAGCATGCAAGCTTAGGGCTCCTAAGAAGGGGTTCTCCTGAATCACCTCGATTTGGCCCTCAACCTCCTTACAGATCTTCGGAAGAATTTGAAGTGTACAACGAAAGAGGTAATGAACGAAAGTGTGCYATTCCTCCCATTGCTCTGTCAAAGTGCGGATTTAAGGCACAGACAACCGATGTYGGGTACTTGCATGAAACGTGAGCTCGCATCGYCTGGTCGCGCTCCTAAGGTTAGCCTGCGTACAGCCTAATTTATATCTGGTTAAGACGGTCTGCGAATCAGTACAAAATTCCTTGTTCTGATGCCCAGCGCGGTTGTGATTACTATATATAACAGCTGCTATATATAATATTACTATATATAATAGTGACATTCTTTTCACTGGTTTTTATAGGTGGTCTTGATCGACCAAGAACACCCGAGCCACCCTGGAACTCAAGTCGCGACGTCATGACAAAACCCTTGTACCATCCAACACCACCTGGAGGGAGAGCTCAAGGAGAGGAACGAGACTTGTATGGAGGTGCCTCAGGATATGTTAACCAAAACCAGGCATTATTAAGGAATACTGTGAGTAGAGAAAAGAAACGTGTTTCATACATAGCTCTACCTAATCTGGTTTACTGCTGGTGTTTGCAGACAGATTCTACGAAGAAACTTAATCAAGAACACTGCTCGAGCAGTTCAATTCTTTTGCGCACAGCAGCTCTAGCTTTTCCGGGCTTAAAGACGACAGCACTTAAACAAAAAATATATTAAGGACGTTCATGGACATTGTTAGCGCAAATCCTTTTTACGTATTTCTCAATTCACTTCTAGTATGATGTAAAGTACTTTCATCATGCAAAATGTAAAAACTCTGGCTAAGGCATCTTTAGCCCATGGACGTTGTTAATCTATTTGYRCCGTCGTCTTGAGTGCAGGGTCCTGAGAAGAAAAGTCAGTGGGTGCTTGTGCGCACTACATAACCCTATATCCCGGCCAATGCATGCGAACGTTTCCATGGTTGTCCATTCATTAACGTCCTTTTTTAATTACAGTCAGTTTTTTTGCGAGGAGTYGTTGGATAGTATGTTTAAGGGAGGGATAAAAAAACGCTAAACATATATGCTGTGTTTAAACATTTGCTACCTTTAGCGATCTTATCCTGCATGCGTACATGATCACAGTTTGTCGAAAGACCAACAGTTATCATATGCATGCTTATAATGAAATCCAGATTTAACGGTTTTCGTATCAGAATGGGATATTTGTAGTTACTCGTACCGTATTTTATCGTAATAGCCAAACCAAATACCAACGGTTAAGTAAAGAATGTATAACTTTAAGAWTACAAACGCTTTGAAATTCCATGGATCTTCACTGGAATACATGAATATTCTACACAAAATCGAGGCTAACACTGAGCAACAGAGAACTCAAAACTGGAGAACACGCATTCTCCACCCTCCCCTCAAGCTTGACAGAGATTAGAACCCATCTAAAGCATTATAGGTGACATTCCTAAGGTATCCTAACAAACTGTCTGTATTTTGACATGCCATAGGAAATGATGATTAGGGGACCGCCCACAGGGAAGAATGGGGGAATCATGGGAAATACGATGCCAAGATCCAAAAGTCCTCAGATGACAGCCTTCAGTCTGCATGGTGGACCCATGCCTCACCCTCCTCAAAGATAAAGTAGATCCCCTACATCTATATCAAGTGATGTTGGAAAGCCCTTCAATACTAGAGTGCATACTTTATATCAGTGAAAAAGTTGACTTGCAAATTCCTTCAAATTATTGCAGAGTTTTGTAGGTCTACGGTTTAATGAGGTCTACTGTACTCACTAATTAGTGCAAATTTGTGGATTTTTTTTTTTTAATGTTCATGGATTTGGTTCACGGTATGCACTCTGTTGTTCTCTTGGATCAGAAGTAAAGATCTGCAGAAGCCGCCAAAGAAAAAACTACATCCAAAACCCTAAAAGACATTGGTTTACAGGGTGCTATGACAAGACAGAGCTCTCAAGCATTTTATTATCCATTCTAAAGTTGAGGAAAAAGATGCATCAGAAGCTTGACTATGGACTACCTTGGACTCATTCCGTGCCAGAATAACCATAAGGAATGACCTGATTGGTTAGCATATTTGGTAATGCTTCCTGCTGATTGAAAGCAAAAGCTTCACAATGACATTGTGTATTTATTAATCCTCCACAAATATCCTAAACACGGATTTCAGTTTCTCGTTTCGTATTCAAATCGGCCTTGCAGCTTGTTATCGGGGTCGAGTAAGCATTGTAATGCATTAAGGGACTGTTTTGAAAAAAATAATTCCAAGATGGCGTCTATTTTATCCCTTCCCCCCCTCCCCAAAAAAAAGCAGAGCTTTCCCCTCAACCTTGGATTGGCTAATAGTCTGGATGTACTCTCGGTATTTTCTTTCTTTCATTCTCTCTTTTTCATTCGTTTCGATTGGCCTAGACATTGCAGCATACATAAAACTTCCCACTCTTCTATACCTAAATGAATGCACTGCAATCCATGATGCCTCGTGTGCTAATAGATTCCACCATGTGGGATCTAAAAACCTACTCGTATTTATAAATACACTATTCTCTCAAAACTTTCTAACTCACCRGTTCTCTGTGGATTTTGGATAATTTATTACCACCGAGTCTGGCTGAGAAGTACAAGCATGACCTCTACTATAATGTTGGTAAAATTCATATATTTTCTAGCATGCAGGTTTCTATGTGATATTTATATAGCAATTGTAATGCATTCTGGTCTAGATTAGGTAGTCTTTTGTTTGATGTCTTATATGGTAATGTTTGTACCCAAGCTAGACCAGAATGCACCTCGTTTGTACAACTAACTTATTTATCTTGTAGATCTTTTGTATCGATGAAATCATGCTCTTCGTAYGACATGTATATATAGTATATTAAAATTTATAAAGTATTTATATTATATTAAGGTATTAGTAGTAGTCTAATGTAAAAGTGAGGACCATAAAATGCATACTGGCTCACTAAACACCAGGGCTCAGTTCTTAGAAGGGTTGATAGCACTATCGGACAGATAAACCCACATCCAGTGGATAACTCAATGTTATCCAATAAATTTAACTACTGGATAAGATTTGTGATGGAGCTATCCACTCGTCATACAACCGGGACCAGTACAAAATGACAGATGTAGTACATTAAGTTATTGATGTAATAAAGTTACACATCCTTCTCATGAGATATGCTGTTGCAATGTTCTCACATTACTTTGTAAACTTTATTGAATATAATGCGGTTGTGCAAGGATTTCCCTCAACAAAAAGGCAACTKGTTTCAGTTATTAGAACATCCCATGATGCAAGACTCTCTCTAAGAAGTGAACATCTTGCATTCATCTAATTGATCGCAAAATTAATACAATTAGTGATTTTCCTTCGTAAAATAATTTCCATTTTTTTTTTTTTTTTACTTGAACTCAGTCACTATAAATCATACAAATTTGTTTGACAGGCCAAATAAAACCACTATAAATCCTAGGATTTTCATTATTTTTTCTAATGTGCTCCATAACGAATCCCTAAAAGTTTCAGCACCATAGATATTGTTTATTCCAATGAGAATAAGAACTTTTATTTAGCCCCAGTAACCTTATTGTGATGAWCCCAAAAGGGAGGAAAATCCCTACTAGAAAGTTACATATTACTACTATAGAGGTTTTGMATCATCACGTGCTGGCACCATTAATACAGCTTGGGYTGCCTGWGGTTAGATGGCARAACAATAAAATACCTTTGCTCTCRAGAATTGAATTTTTTCTCATGTAAAATGATTGTATTGTTCCTGCCATCTCRTGATGGTGCAAAACCTCTTGATTTGCTGACAAAGACAGATAGCAAGCCACTTTAAGGTAAAACTTTAATCAATTACATTAACTCATATATATGACTGTACAAATAATAGTATTAGGATGATAGATTTAAGGCCTACAGKTTCAGCTTTCTCTAAAGGGGTTTCTCTCTTTTTGTGCTAGGAATCCCTGTCAGTGATGTAGCCAAGACTGTGATGAATGCATATAATTGGAAAGAAGCAACTTATATTCTCAATTTGACAGCTTACCAAAGGTGTATTCTAGAGAGGAAAGCCTTTAGAGAAGACAATGTAATTCTAGTGCTTTTGCTTACACTAATAAACAAAAATAAAAACACACAAAAAAATAACACAATATGCATTAAGTTTGTCTTGCACATATGCTAAAACTGRGGGTTATTTTTTTGACATTCTGTCGACTGCATAATATCCATTTCACATTTCCAATACTTGGAATTTAGTCGCACACCACGAGTTACAAGATACCATGGATCTATAAAATGATCCATGATAAAAAGGAGTGTTAGAAATGGTTTCATTGTCRGTCCAATTTTCAAAACCACTGTTTTGACATCAAGGACTTCAGCAATGACAGAATAGTCGAAATTTAGGATTACAGTCTGTTATCAAAAACATTTTTTCTTGTAATCGAGATTCAAAATTAAGTAGAATCTCTTTAAATTCTGTTTCTGTTACTGCACAAATCTGTTTAATAATCTTAAACTAAAAGCAAAATAAAGATGAGTTGAAAAATAATACATACATACAATATTTAAAAAATTCTATGCCAAAACCGAGGATTATTTAATATATAATTATTAATGAAACACAATATAAATACAGTGTTCATTAAGTGTTAACCAAAATATATCTCTAAAATTGGTTGTATCGAGTACTTTGTTATTGGAAATGCGATCCATCAATAATTATATTTTAAATATACATGATATTTCAAAGCCTCCAAGAAGGATAAAATCTTATTTCATTATGTTTAAGGTGTGGTATCAACCAAAAAAATTATGCAATATGTTTTGCAACAATTTAAAAGTGATCTAAAGAATAGTGCACTCRGCAAAACCATGAATAAAAAAACAAAATGGATGCTGACAAATATTAGSTACTTAGTGACTAATAGCAACCATTGCTATCAATCAACAAGAACATTCATTACACTAAAGACAAAAATGGTCTCTTGTGTATTTGTCTTTGTGTAACGAAAGTTCTGGTTGAGTGATAGCAACTATTGGTCATTAAATAGCTACTATTTGTCAGTACAAACCTGGGCTTTAATGGTTTTACTGCATGTACTCTACTCTTTTTTATTATCACTTTTGAAGCAATAATAATTTTGATGTTTCACAAGACAGGAACTTTCTACTTTTCAYGACAGCAAACTTGTTATACTCTAACGTAATAAGATTAAACTCTCATAGAGGCTGCRGAATATCATCTAGTGTGAAAAGCAATGAATGTGAATAGTTGGTTCAATGGAAATTAATATAGATAATACTGTTGGCATGTTCAAATGCTTGTTTTTTTCTGCCTGTAAAACCAAACCTTAAGACTTTAAATTTTAAGTTCTGAGGCTAAATAAATCAAACATTTCAATGTTGACCAACAAGAAAATAACCCTCACAATTGTAAATAAAATATTTCAAAGGATATCAAATACACAGGTTATATTCTAGAAACTTTCACCGACTGAAACAGATTATAGTAATAATTCCCCCAGCAATTGTAATAAACTATTTACATATTTTATTACTTGTTACACTGCTAGTCCCTTGAAAACTATGACTAATGTTATAATAATAATAATATCTGGGGTATTGAGCATCTGATAAATCATTCCAAGAGGTAGGTGTTTTCTTTGTACACTGTTATATCATACGGACGTGAATTGGAAATGTATTGTAGATGTCTATTATAGTTGATTTCATGGTTGAAAGAATATTCCAAATGATTTACAAAGAAGAGTTCTTTTATATTACACAAAGGGAATCGCATGTGAAGGGCAATACTTCTATTTCTTTTTGGCTTTGGCCTGTTGTCCTCGAGGTGGGGTTACCGGGCGYCCAGAATTAAGTCCGCCATATGGGAATTTCTTCTTGTCAGCTGGTTTAAGGATCTGAAAATATTGGTCCAATATCATGGTTATTAGTGTTTGAGCACTGTTTTACTWTGTTAATTTATTACTACTTTCATTAATAATTTTGTGACTGGTCGATTTTTGTGATTCCCTGGGCCTGTATACTACAAAACTAACGTTAAAAATTTGTCTCTCTACCACACCCTAATTCGTCTACTGTCAYGCCTACTTTTGTTACATGTATTACAGTKAATACCTTMCTGGCAATGTGCTGGATCCGAGACAGTGACAAAAGTAGGCRTGTCAGTGAAGGAATTAGGGTGTGGTAGTGAGACAAATTTTTGACATGTCKCCACAGTTYGGTGAGATCCGTAGCAGCAGTTTTAAGCAAGCACATCCACTRAAAATACCATTAGTAAGCAACACAAGTAGAAATTTTAAATTCATGTTTCATTTATACGCCCAATATAAGTGGGATTCACCTTTGGTCTACCAATTAACCTTTATATAGTTTTATATAGAGTTTATATAGAGTTTTATATTTAAAATCAAGTAAGTACTTACCTGGAAGGAGCACATTAATGTTTCATCTACGCTCATCATTGCACCAGCATTATCAAATTCACCGCAGTAGTTTGGTGCAGAAAATAATGTTACTAGTTGACGTTTTGCAAAGAATTCATATCCATCTTCTACAACCTAAGGCATAATTGAACATTCAGAACATTAATAATCATCACTTCATTATCTATTTCTAAATTTTATATATTTATATAGGGACATGTAACTGCTCAGTGTTGATAAAGTTATTAGAATATCTCTTACAGTGCGAAAGCTATAACCAGGGCCACTTAGACTGTGAGAACCAATCACATTGTAATATAAAAACAATATATTCCAACTTTGGGAAGTGGAGGCTATCAGAAAGCAGCATGTCTCGGCATGTCTCAYGTCTAGCTGTTCAATTGGCCCTGGTTACAGTAGTTGCACTGTAACTGTAAGAGATGGGCCATCAACAAGATCATTCAAACCCAATGGAGGTATAACTATTCAATAATAATAATAATAATGTAAATAACTATTTGTAGATGTAATTATAAAGGCAGCACTTTGACATTATTATTTTAAGATCCTGGACAATGTTTGAGCTAGGGTTTGAATCCACAACTTTCYGTACAATAAACTAATGCTCAACTTGATAAGCCAGGGTGGTGATAGAAAACTGTGTTAAATGCAAGTCATTTTCCTCTTCCAAACATTGAATGATATAGAAACAAGACCTTACCTGATGTGCTCTGCATATAAGGTCTAAATCGTGTTTATGTAGAAACTTGGCTACAATGTCTGGGCCAAATGTAAATGAGACACCTCTGTCATTTTCCCCCCATCCCTGGACATCTTTGTCRGGATCTGACCATAGAAGATCACAGAGAAGACCTAAAAACAAAGATATGATAAGAACATTTTTGAAAATTGTACAAATAGATTACAAAATACTGCAAGCTTAAATTATGCTTAATCAATAAACTTTATACCTTTTGGTCAATAATGACAAGAATAAACTGCCCACAAAGGAATTTCAAAGTTCAAGAAAATGAATAAACACTTGATAATCTATGTCCTTGGTTCAGTGTTTGAAAATTTTTTTTACAAACTATTAATTATATATCTTTTCAAGCCACAATATTTTTCAAGATTTCTAATCAAATCTCATTAGCTTTTGACACATTTTTACTTTTAGAAATGAGYTTATTAAAAACTCAATATATCAAAGGGAAATTTTCCACAATACAAATGTACAACTGAAGTTGATAAAAACTATTGCTGAAAAGCTTTCCCATATTTATATTTCTTAGTTAATTAAGTTACTGTTTATTATATTTTTTAGATGCCATATTTTCAAAATTCACAGATSTATCTATCTATCAAAATAATTTCAAATAGAAAGTCATTAATATTCCTGCAGTGCAAAYATTGATTTTAAAATCAATTTTATCAAAACTTGAAACAATGTCCTGGCTTATCTACATCAGCACAAGGCCTCCTCAAAGATCAAATTGAAATTTAGACTGATACACACTACCAAAATCTCTCAACAGAGAAGCTCAAAATGCTCATTTGGAAGTCACATTATACTCAAATATGATTAAAAAAACTAATAAAAACAACTATTAAAAAAATTATGCAAGAACAAAAACCTATTCCAGATGGCCAATTAACAAAAAAACCAATTGTCAAGTTCAACTAATTGCCAGCAAAATATAAATGTACAAAATTCATCATCAGGAAAAACACACTGATCTACGTCAGCACTAAATAGTTTTTAGGGTTCTCAATAAGGGCCAAAGATAATAGGAAATTTGATGGAGTAAGATTGTTTTGCTTTTAAGAAATCATTATGATATTTTTGTACGTAGGAAGAAAGTTCTTTGCAGGTTTCTAATGCCAACATTCAGTCATCAAGAGAAAAGCAAATTCAGATCATTAATACACTTTTTCAAAACATGCTGTAAAATGATTACTAAGATATGTCCCCATTTTCCAAACAATGTTAGGCACAGAACACAGACCACAGCAATCTTTTTCTTAGAATAAAGATTACTATAAAAACTAATGATTTTGATATCCATTCTACTTGCATTTCTACATTTCCTTTTTACTCTAGATAGGAGTTCTTCTCTAGTGAACATTTAGAACAGGAAAATTGGGAGCTCYATTATGGGTACTTTCACATATCTTTTGATGATCAGATTCTGAAGTTTGTTCTGAAGCTCCAAAGTTTGTTGGTAAACTTCAAACATTGTTACGAAGTTCGCCAACCTTGGAATCTGATCGTAAAAAGATATTCTTCTTTGAATGGCATATATAGCACAGGCAGATCTAGAGGGTAAGGGTGAATTAGGCAACTAGTTACCCCCTTTGAAGTTTAAAGTGCCTATAAGCTTTCTGACAATATTCTCAATATTAATAGTATTAGTTTTTACATAGTAACAAGGAACAACAAATAAAAATAAATGCCTCCTCATACGTCACAGTCATAWGACATGGAAAAACCTTATAACTTCAAGAAGCTGCTCTCGAACTATGACATTTTTTGGGGATGGGGGGTCATTTAACAGTTTACCCCATGTAGAATCAATACTGAGAATATTTTCRGAAGAGTTATAGGCACTTTAAAAATAATACAAAAATGTTTTTGGTGCATTATTTTAATTCTTTAAAATATTAAGAATAAAAGATAAGTTTAGACCTAAAAAGGACACTATGTGATGCCTTATTAGGTAACCGTCACCCCCTCAAAATGTCCTGGACTTGCCAGTACGTATAGTCAAGACTAAGACAAGTGAAGTTTACAGTTCCCTACGAAGGGTGTATTAATCATATTCATTTATTTATATTGTAGAGTCGAGACTAAGGTCAGTGAATTGTACAGTTCCTTGAGGAAAGTGTATTATTCCAAATAGTTACCAAAAAAGAGGAAGTAAACAATTTTACATCACTTTACAACAAAGTAAAAGAATTAATAAAGCAGTTATTTATTGGATGTTTTGAATATTAATCATACTCCACAAGCTGGAGGAATCATTTTTGATCATACTTATAACTGATGTGCTATTTCCTGGTCAAACAAAAGTAGATTTGGCAAAGCATATTAACCCTACAGGAGGTAGGAAAAATTCAAAATCTGTTTTCACCCTGAGGAAAAGTTTACACATCTATTGATTTGATCGTAAACAATTTGGAAAAAAATTCGCTCGTAATATGGTAGGTAGGCTAGAATTTACTAGCTTGAGCTTTCCAACATAAAGAACTAGTTTCGAATAGTTAGGTTCATAACTCGATACTGGACAGAARAAAAAGAAGAAAAAAAGCCAAATAGGGCAGTTTATGATTGATTCAGTGTACTTTTCGATAACATYGTTAAGTGGACATTAATAATGCATTGAAGAGGACCTTCGAAAATTTTGCAATTTTTTGAATAGACATAAAGAAATGTGCAAAAAAATTTATAAAAACCATTATTCCTCGCTTCCTTTCGAAAGTATTGATTTTTAACACGACTGGTGATGCAAATAAAACTACATTTTTGCCAAATACTTAAGTCGTTCAAATAGTCAGGGCGATATCTCTCCGTAAACAACTCGATAACAAACCCCATTTTGCTTTGATGTGTAAATTATAGTAAAGAGCGACATATTTTTCATCCAATGTCGTAGGATAGGCCGAAATACACTTTAAAAAAGGTTAAAAACCACTCTCTTATTTGACATGACGTCAATTAATTTGGAAGATAGTGGGGAGGAAAGAAGGTTGTTTATTGTACGCAATTTACTGTACGTACCTTGATCTGGTACGTCTGTAGGACGCATTATTCTTCGAATCTGTTCCATCGACTGAAGATCGGGGGAAAGACCTAAAATTATATCAAAAAGAACAAGTTAATGTTATAGCTTTTCTCGATTGAGAACAGAAATTAAGTAGAAACAATAAATCATTGTTTCAATGATCGTTATTTTACCTCCATGACAGCAAAAAATTTTCTCATCTAAGATCGCAGAAACAGGGAGACAGTTGAAACAATCAGTGAAAGTTTTCCATAACTTGATATTGTACCGGCGTTTGCCTATAAACAGACCAGAGTATTAATCCTAAAATCCCACCAAACAATTACACAATTTCAGGGATAAACGAAATAATAAGTATTAAAGGTTTGGATAGATAATTTCCTGCGGTCTCTGAGTATGGGAGTGGGCATCATTTGTCAAACTAGTTGAAGGAGTACGTTTATATCCATATACATACATTCATCGTAAAATCCGTAGATACGGTTGATACTAGCACATTCGTGGTTGCCTCGAAGAAGGAAGAAATTCTCTGGATACTTGATTTTGTAGGCTAAGAGAAGACATATGGTTTCCAGGGACTGTTTGCCTCTGTCGACATAATCGCCAAGGAAGAGATAGTTCGATTCTGGAGGAAATCCACCGTATTCGAAGAGTCGCAGAAGATCGTAATACTGTCCGTGGATATCTCCTGCGGTAGATAGAGAAACAATAAACAACGACACATCGACAAAGAGTAAATGCATTCAAATATTAAAAAACGATAATTCACAGTTTTGCACTTTCGTTTACACACCACAGATTTTGAGGGGTGCTTCGAGTTCCAGAAGGATTGGTTGACTTAGGAATATTTCTCTTGATTTCAAACACAGTCCTCGGATTTCTGCTTCAGTAAGTTGGACATTCTTCCCAGGCCGAGACCCTCGAACTGCAAATAAGATAACATGAYCAAACATTCAGTAAAGAAGTGACATAACTCTATTCAGAGTAAGACCGAAGAATACACTGGTTGCGAAATTTACCTTCTAAAAGTCGACCTATAATACTATCAACATTTAATTTTTCTGTGTCAGCCATTCCCTAGGAAGTTTCTGTGTTGTATCTAGTTGCTAATGATATTATCAAAGTCTATCCACAGGCAATCCTAGCGTCGGATGGAACAGGATTGTCTTTGSATATGTAAGTGACAAAGATGGCGGTCTCAAATATAAGCTGCCGGAGCTACCGGTTTACTGACCCTCTGACGTCATAACGGTTTATAACGATTTGACAGAAGTCAGTGAAGTGTGGAATGGAATGGAATAGATGAATGCGGAATGAAGGAATCTGGAGTATTTAATATTTTTTGCTTTGGAAAATATTTAGAGACTTTGAATTTTGTCAAAACCCTAAAATTCTTAACACAGCTAAGATAAGAATTTGATTAAATATTACAGATGTCCTATTTGAAAAATTTAAGAAAAAAATAAAATCAAAAATATTATTTTATCTTTTTCATACAAACTTTCGAATTCAGTTCTTGAAAACTGAAAGCGATTAAAGAAATGTAAAGATAATATGAATCCGAAATTGAACCTCGTCCACCAACGTCCTACTTTCTCCCACTTTTAAAACGAAGACCACGCCCTATTAAAGATACTTCCACTTTTTTGCACTCTTTAACTTTCCCTAGGCATTTTTGTTTATGAACACCTATTTTTGGAATCGGAGGGATTTGGTAAAATTTTAAGAAGGAAGATTTAAAATTGGTGGGCTTCCTGTGCAAGTTAGTAGCCAAGCCTTGTCTTACGAAGAGAGCATTTGGGAACTAACAYCACACGAGGATCTAAAAACCTTTGCAAAATAATTTCATACTTTTTCYAGTTTTTCTCCCAATTGTATTCCCCTGATCTCCAGCCATGCTATCAAGAGTAGTAGCCAGTCGAGCAACTCGTGCTGTATTGTCATGTAGAAACCTTATTGGTCGTCCTAGTACTAATACAAGACTGTGGTCAGTGTTCTCTGGTTTGTCAGCAACTACACGTGCAGTATCTCAGAAACCATTTCTTCAGACTGCTTGTGCCTGCTCTAAAATCTGTGCTTGTGGGGCTCATAAACTTACTCAGGGTAGGTAGATATTCTTCCTTGATAGGAATAGGAGTGATGATTTGTTGTGTTTTAGTTTTATGCAATTTTGTAGAAAACTGTACATGTCTCAACACTATGCTGACATATGTGTAGACAACTTTGCAAAGTATTGTGAATATTTCTCATGATAGACACCAGCAGCGCATGACATTTACAGTATACTCCTCTTTACTTTGTCTCTTCATTTTATTTTCAAACCAGATGTTTTATAATGCATGCTGCTATTCTTCTTTTGCACATTACTGTACATCATCGCACCATGTTGGTGGTACCGGAAAAAACTTGTTATTAGCATACATTGTTAATAAAACCAACATCGCTGTATGTCTTTGTCATTTGACTCTCAATATACTCTTACGTCATCCAAAAAGTTGTAATTGATAACATGATAAAGGTTTGTGGCATTCTCACGATGTTAGACTTGATTTTTTCATATATTAATTTACTCCATTTTATCAAGTCCAACTTTGACTCGGAATTATTGTGTCATGGTCAATCAAACAAATTCAAGAAAAACATATTTCCTTACTTTCAGATTACTTTTATATATTTACTCTAAACTTATTAAAACCAAAACAATATCAAAATATTAATGCTGTAATATTTTGTCCTTCGTTCTCAGGAGACAGYGATCTTTTAGGGTTTCTGAATGATGAGATAAAATTTGAGAAAGAGTCTGCAAAAGATGTTCCAAAAGCAAATTTATTTAAGGTATACTTGTTTGCTGGCCAAAAAAGGGTGCAGAAATGCCTTTAATGTTTAAAGATTGATGAATCTTAAACATGTTACCACCAAAATCCTTCAACCCCCCTTCTCCAGGTGATCTTGACCAGTCCCTTATTGTACTCAAGAATTTTATGATAATGCATAATTCCAGAAATTATCCATACCCTCCCCCAGGGAGGATTTTCTAAAGACCCCTCCCAACCCCAGAAATTCCAATTTTCTTCCATACAATTTCTATGATATCGTTTTTTCTCTGGCCCTTCCAAATCTCTGAAATTTAAAATTCCTCTGTGGGGGCAGGGGGGAGGGGGTATGGATAATTTCTGGAACTACACATTGATTTTTTTCCTAGATGTAGGGAATTTTGGCCACTACTACACTACACTACTATAGCTTTACACTATTTGTGCCAGCCATTGCTAAACTGCTTTGTCCTATCTGAATTACAAATTCATCTTCCAAAAACTTACATTTCAATAATGGAATTACATTTCCAGGCAAATATTGATGGCACAAGTGTCAGTCTAGAACGGGAATTCAACGGCGAAAGGTAAATAGTGTATTCAATGATAATATGCAAACACAGTAGTTGCAAGCTGCCMATTGGATTCCAACTCACATTAACTAAAACTCTAATAGAATTTTTGCATGATAGTGTCATTGACTACCACACTACCAGACTCCCTTGCACACTTTCTTTTGTTCAGTTAATTGGCACCAATTGTCTTACTATTCTAATGAGGAAATACAAATTTAAATAAGATAGAAAATTTGTGAAGCCTTATTATGGTAGTAGGAGTCAAATGATGCCATTATGCAAAATTCCTATTGGTTGAGTACCAATAGGCTATTATTGACACTAAGAAAAGTACTGAACCAAAATTTTACTGTAGCCTTGAAAATATACAAAGCCAATGACCATTTTTGTTGTTTTAACAATATCGTTCTTGTTCAATAGAATTGTAGTGAATTTTGACTTAAACCAAAATGTCAATGAAGATGAAGCTTATGTCAGTGAAAATGAATCAGATAATGAAAAGGATGAAGCACAAGTTGCAGGAGATGTAAGTGATGTATACTAAGCAATGTAGAACTTATTTAAGGTGGCTCAACCCCCTCACGCTTGACCGCTACCTTCCACTTTTGGAACRCTAGTGCATAAACGTCTTTTATCCGATTGCAAATCTTTTTTGCACATAAGTCACATAAAGATTGAATTAATATTTGATGCAATTTTTAGTGAGATCGGACGTCATAACACGTGATTATG